TTTATCTATGTGTCTAATTCTGTAACATGAAAAATTGTAGCAACTGTGTGGGACTGCTATTTTGGTATTTTGAAGTTTTTGCTATCCTACAAATTAAATGCTTCTACCTTTTCCAAAAATACCTTAAATTACATAAGTTAACATAGCGACAAACTTAGGGAATTTTGATTTCTTATAATTTTTTATTTACAACTTTAAATTTAATGTTATACGGAAATGTACTAGATTTCTAAGCCACTTAGTCACTGAAAGTTTAGAACTCTAACTTTATTAATAATAAAATTACAAGATCGAAAATGTTTTGAATGACTACGAGAAAGACAAACCAATGCGGATGGTAAGGCCTGTGTCTTTTGCAGTTCAACAGAAACAGGCTTGATCACAGAAAATATTTAAAACGCTTACCTACAAAATGTAAAGTGTTCTTGAATATTGGAGTTAGGCCCTACAAACGTCTCAGCAAGTTTATCAAAGTCGAAAAATTTGTAACTTCTATAAAATGAGAACCTACCTGAACAGTTATCAAATTAAACTTACTAGAGGTTGCCACAAATTGAAACTCAAAAATGCTTCTTTGGAAAAAGATAAAATTATTTGAAAAAAACTAAAGTCATAGATCAACACACACAAAGCATAAGCCGACATTCGGCCGTTTTGAATGGACCAGTTTATGTTTATATACGTATATATATGTTTGTTTAGTTCAACATCTCGACTTTTGTCGGTTTTATAAATACCCCGTCCCGTAACACACGGGAAAAAAGATATCTATGTCCCCAAAAACTTCAAATTGATAAAGTTAGATATGAATTATGAGAATTATTTACTGTAATTTAATTTTTAATGTGCAGTTTCATTGTATGAGAGGAACCTAACTAGTGTGTGTCTGTCGTGTGGTGCGTGTTATTTGCGGCCCTTCTCCTTCCTCGTCCTCGTCCTCTCCCTCTTACCCGTCGTATGCTTAATGTATGTTGTGTGTCCAGTGTATGTGTATGTGTATGTGCTATGTTGAGTGGGTCTAGAGTGTCTGAGGATTGCGGTATGTCTGGCGATTGTTGCGAGCCCTGTGGTTGTGGGTCCTGTGACTGATGCATGTTTTGCGATTCCTGGGTGTTTTGTGTATGTTGGTCCTGTGTGCTGTGTATGAATACTGTATCTCCCAAAACTTTACTGAGTATGGTCACTGTGTGTATGGCTGCTTGTTTTTGAAGGATGGTTATGTCGATGTTGGCTCCTAATTTATCTATGTATTTCTTTATGCTTTTAGCGACTATTCCAGTTGCGCCTATAATTATCGGAATGACAGTCGTTTGTGTATTCCACAGGCGGGTGACTTCAGTTTTCAACAGGTGGTATTTGCTCAATTTCTCAATCTCCTTAGCGCCTATATTGTAATCGGATGGTACGGTAATGTCTATTAAATATGTTTTATTGCTAGTTTTGTCGATATATATAAGGTCAGGTCTATTGTGCGTTACGGTGATATCTGTTTGTACGGGCATTTCCCAAAGGATTTTAGTGGATTCATTTTCTTTGACTTGTGGTTGTATGAGTGTTTCTTTCCACCAAAGGTCAGATATTTCTATTTTGTGTTTTTTGGCCAGACACCAGTAGACGTATTGGACAAGGTTATTATGTCGTTTAACATAATAGGTCCCCGCCAGTTTTTCGCATCCTGATATGATATGCTGAGTGGTCTCATCCTTACAGGCACATATGCGACATTTTCCGTCTACTGATTCTTTCAGTATATCGCGCTGATGCTGTCGGGTCATAATGGCTTGGTCTTGTATGGCAAATAATGATGATTCTAATTTGGACGATATCTGTTGTTTCTTAATCCATTTAAACGAAAGCTCTGCATCTATGTTGGCTTGATCAAGTACTTTATGAGGAAATTGCCCGTGTAACTGCTTACTTCTCCACACTGCATTGTGTGTTTTAATAATCGCTTTCTTAATTTCATCATCTGTGTGTGTGTTACCCACTGTTAAATTTAGTTCTTCTTCTATTTCTTGTGCTTCCTTAATGATTGAGTATTTATCTCTATGTGAGTCATGTTGGACTATTGCTTGAATAAGATGATCTCTTTCTGTTTTTAAGTATTGCTTATATTTAACTACCTGTGTTTTATACATATACTCTACGTTATATTTATTATATTATTATTATTTATATTATTTATTATACATATTGTTTGTTATGTTTATATATGTATATATGTTTATTGTATAGCCTTTTGGAACGAGACTGGTTAAAGTAAATACTGGACCCCTATAATTTTATGCAGTTGTTTTTACACAATTATTAACTTTAGAGCACGTATTTTTTAACAATTTTAGCTTTTTGTACTACTTCTACATATAGAATAGAATAATATTTATTTCATAAAGCACAGCATACAAAAATCAAACAAAAGTTTAATAACAACATACACAAAAAAAAACTAAAAATCAAGTAAGGTTTGATAAACACTTTAACAAGGTATCATCTTTCAATGTGTCAATCTTTCATACCTGACAGAATTGACATAACACGTCAATGTGCCACGTATCCAACCACGCGTCTATGAAATGTTACTTAGAATAACTATTACTTATCAACTATACTTTTCAACCCATGTACCATAAAAAACCTTTAGTATGATTCTTTAATATGAATATGCTGAGGGTTGTACGCCGTGTTTCAGAAAATAGGTGGATAGATGCCACCTCAGTACGAGTAATGATTTTGAGTGCCCGCCTTATTATATAATATTAAATAATATGTAAACATTATGATATGCTTCCGTGCGTCATATTTGTTCAAAAGGGTCCAAAGATTTTTTTTCACGTATTAATATATAGATAACAAGTACGAAAATTGAGCGGATCTCAAATGATAAAAAAAGATAACTGAAAAGTTGGATTTAAAAAGTAAAATAAATAACATCAAAACTAAACTTTTAATGTACGAAATTGAGCAAATAAAAACTTTTAAAAGTCTCTTTAGTGTTAGATGGTATTCCACCTAAGTAAAATTTATTTCATTTTATATTTTTAATCATTACTTGGTACAAAACAAACAGTTTTACATCCCCGACGCCAAAAGATTTACAATGCAGCGACAAATGTTTTTAATCACACATTTCATCTGATTTGTACTGCCAAAAAAGGCTCAGACGATTTAAGTAGTCGTAAACATCGCTAGTCATCAAAGAGTAACCTCGTCATATCCAAATTAGCTTTAATTATAAGCAGCAGGCACTTACCATCTTTGGTAAATTATATTAGCGTCTCAGAAATGACTCGAAATTCCTACTGAAATATCATTATGAAAAGGTAGGAAAGGTTGTGAGTTTTTATAAGGGTGGGAGTTGAAGGAACCTGGGACGATGATAGAATGCGCTGTATAATATATTGTACCAACTGTGCAAACTCATCGATCAAACGTAACCCCTACAGTTGTTGAGCATTGATATCGTTCGTACTCGTAGGTGCTTGCTACTCCTACACTTCCCGCTTTTGGCGTCAAACTTTCATGTACGGAGCTGGCTTTCAACCCTACCGATGACACTGTCGATGCCAGTAATATTCATAACGTCGAATCTACTTGGCACTAGAAAATAATAACGCCAGCAATTCTCCGTCAACGCTTGAATGGGTGATATTATATAAGCTTTACTATGAATGTCGTCTTTCATCTTTGTGTTATTTCGAATACGTATTATAAGGAAAATGAATTATCGTTTGTGTGTAATAGATACATATCTATAACAGTCAAATACTGACATTATTTTTGTGAGAAATTTATTAAACATTCATGATTTAAATTCGGAATCCGTTCAGGTACTGTTTTAGTACGTTATAGGTGTTTGGCGAGATTTGATATAGTGAAAACGACGATTGCAACTAATTGACACTAATTTTATTCCTAACGTTATCGCGTGTAAAACACAGTTAACATACAAGTGTTTATAAAAATAGGTTATCGCCATGTATTAAATATCTCAAATATATTTTGTAGAAAATAAAAAGAATATGTAAAACAGATAACACTGCAGAAAATATTTTTTCTTCTGTGCACAATTCCAAGTATGCTTGACAACTTTGTTAATGTCCTTCATAAATAATTTATTGTTACAAGATTCACTTGGTAACTTTTAATAACATTAATAACTCCATCTACAATTGCTTAGATCGGCTTAAAAGAAAATGGACAAAGCCTTGGCTGAACAAAGCGTGTGAACAATAGCTAAGAAAAATACATGCTAAGTACACTTTTGTCAATCCGGGCTTTTAGCGAAATTCATTTAAAATATTGACTTGATTTCAATTACATTTACGATTTCTCCTCGTGTGCATCAGAAGTCTATTAGTTATATAAAAGAGTTACGAACAATCGATAACAGCGATAGATGCAATAACTTGAACAATGATTCCAATTTCACCTAACAAACACAAAGTTACCTAAGAAGAGCATATATAGAGAAATATAGGAAGCCCGCACGGCTTCGTTACATTGATGAGGATCTGGTATAAGGTAGGTAGGAGACAATCAACGTCTTGATTCAATTTCAATAAATGACACAAGATTGAAGACCTTAATCTATGTATACAAAGTTCTCAGGTGAGGTGTATTATCAAGACGTTCGATCACAATATCTACTTTATTGTGTTATATATTATTCTTCATGAAGCTAATGCCATTCGATTACAATCCTTGTGTTGAGTGGAATATCGCAAGATCCCATGTGCAAAACAAGTGATTTTCTTTGTACAAAGTTAAGCGAAACTTGATCGGATAGTATAAAATATAGCGGCCATATGTGACACTTTTTGTTTTGTTTTAGATATTCTCTCTCTGTATAGTGTTCACTCGTTCTAGGGTCGTATATTTTATACAACTACGCCACTTGTTAGTTGTATAGTTTACTAGAAAAATATTTCTATTCTTTTCATAACATTTTTTTGATGAATAAATTTACCTAGACAAAGTTTAAAGCCAGAAAGGATACTCACATTCATCGTGATCTTTGGCGGTGACTGTGAGGACAGTGTGTTGAATGTCCTCATTTTCGTCGACCTCCGCCTCATAAAGCTCCTTGTCGAAATACGGTGGGTTGTCATTCTTGTCGGCGATCCCAATGCGGATGAATTTAGTCACTGAAAAGAAACCAAACCTTTACTACAAGAAGATCAAACAAAAGTTCAATACCCTATTTCGCTATTAAAGGCAATGACGTATTATACATTATATATATATATAATAACAGACGAAAGTTCTCTCTTTGCCAGCCAATGTTACGAATAGGTAAAAGCGTTCTATAAAAGTTAAAACAATAATAAATTATAAAGTATTTCAAAGACTCAGTTATTCCTTTCGTTAAATAATCATTCAAGTTTTATTTTTGCTGTAGAAGCAATTCGTCTACAGATTTACAATTATTACACCCAAATAATTCTGTTTAATGGCAAAAGAAATGGCAAACAACAGACAAGAACTTGTTCACGAATCACTGGTTATCATCTGAGGTCTTTCACTTCGATAGATAAGTAAAAAGCAAAAACCTTTATGAGGAACTGTTCGTCAACGTTAATGTTTTTGACAGCTTCACGAATTTGAGTTTTCTCTCAATATTTGGTAATATTTAATATATTTAAATAAACGGAAAGTTTGCTCAGTAGTACCTACTAGTACTATTTTAAAGTTTAATAATTCCTTTTTTTTCAAAGATATTTAGGTCAGCTACTTACTTACTGTAAGTGTAATCGCTTTTCGGTAAAACTAAACGTATTTTCATAGAGAATTGCCCTACTTTGTAAATCTAAAGATTTACAAAGTAGGCAATTCTCTACTAATATTTTACAGCTAAAGAGTTTGTTTATTTGGTTGAGTTTTTCAGTGTTTTATATCCCATTTATCGAAGAAGGTTGTAAACTACATAACGTCACGATACGACCAGTAGGAGCCGAGCATCAATAAAAAATAATGCAAAAACGGGAAAAAATTATTATTTTTGAGAGCCACAGACCAAGTTACGTGGGTCAACACGTTATATTTATAGTATTAAACTTAGTTTTTATAGTTGTTCCTTAAGTGTGGTGACGGATTAAGGTCCGCATTTTAAAAGACGTTTCATGTATGGGTTTAACTCTGATTACCTGAAACTAGTTTTAAGTGCAGATCAAAATTTAAGTATTGAGATCTTATTATAGTTGAAACTAGTTTTAAGTATTGATTTGCACATAGTCTGTTATCAATTACACAGTTATTAAAAAAAATCTTTTACAAACATAATTTCTGTGAATTTGTATATAGTATACTATTAGCTAGTGTAGCAATGTTAACATATTAACAAGCTTGGTGTTCGTCCAAAATTAAATATGACAAATATAAAAATAAAAATGACTAGATATAGGCTATACCAGACATTAAAGTTATTTATCAACACTTGTCATGTGAAATGTCCAACGATGTACTAGTATAATTATTATACTTTTAACATAAAACAAAAGGTTGTGGTGATTTCAATTTAAATAAGTATTGTGTGTAAAATGTGAATTTCATTGAATTTATTTATTTTAAGTAATTTACCAATTTCCAATTATTTATTTTAATTTACCTTAATTTCAGTGAAATTAGGGTAAATTAAAGTGAATTGATTTTAGTATGACAATTAATTCTTTCGTAGATAAAGTAAATCTTTCGTAATTATTCAGAAACAAATAATCGAAACACATTAATTTCCCCTAAAATGCCCTAGAAATTATCATGGCTCACATAAACAAAGATCACAGCTGTCAAAATCTATACTTGAGTAAAGATTTCGCTATCACTCACTTGAGTATGAATCGGTGAATCTCGTTTTAAATAGCGTTCAATAATAAAGTCTCCACTTAAAATTAGCTTTAAGACTAGATTCATGACTGAGACACCTTTTAAAATACGGACATTAGAATACTGAGTGTCACCACCCCTCTTTATTCAGTGGGTGTCGTAAGAGCCTAAGACTAAGAGAGTAAACTACGCAGGACAACACAGCACTGCAAAGAAAATGAAAACTTGACACAAACCAAACCGTCTGGCCAGTGTGGTACAGTAGGCCAAAATATCCTATCTAAGAAGAGGCCTATCTCTAGCAGTGGACTTTTAAAGGACTTTTAAACGCGGACGGGTATAAGACCCTGACTTACTCGAGCTATTGCTTACATTCTCCAATTCATTCGTATATATCCCTTTTCTACCATCACCTTCCCTCCTTATTTATGTACCTTTCATTTTATTATACTCCTGCTCTTGCCATTTAATCCCTAAAATGCCCGATCACAGCAATAGACTTACCATGTATTACGTAAGTGGGACTAAATGACAGTACTATCTAATCGGAAGCTTGATCCTCAAAATGATCTTCTTGAAAACAGTATCGTATTTTTTAAAGATTAGGTATAAACGCCAATTTAGAAACACTATTTATTAATACGTATAGAGGATGACGATTATATTTAAATATTGTCTGGTACAAGTTAACAGCAAAGACAAAACTGTTCTCGTAATGTCTCGTAATAATCACAGTAGTTGATGTGTTTTGTATTAAGGGGGCACAATATATATATTGTTCGTCAACATAATGAATCCTTTAATTTCCACATTTCTTGGCGACAAAAAGATGTTATCGCTGTATTATTGCACAACGACTGTTCGCCCTTTCCATTTCCTTTTCGACTGATAGACTGCTGTCGCCGTTCGGTGGATTGGTATCAATTGATTTATTTTTTGTAACAACAAACGAAGCTTAATGTAATTTTACATATAATAAAATACAAAACTTAAACAATAAAGAACTTAGACTTGTTATTATTAATTCTATTGAAAGTTATTTGTACTCTACAGAAACATGCTGTAACAAAGGTTTGATTTATTAATGATCTATTACATATATACTGTAAACCAAAACTAACCCTATAATAATAAATTGCAACTGATTCAAAAAATAATTATTTGAACTATTTAAAAGTAAATTGAACTCATTGGGTTTTTAGACACACGTGTTGTGGTCTGAATTGCTGCTGATAAATATTATGACGAGCATATAGTACATAGTTATTATATGCCGGAAGGAAACTTTTACACTTTTGAATATTAAGCATTTTTAATAATAATGAATGATTTTTTAAAAACGAACTGATATTCAAATAATTGAATTATTTTAAATGCTACAAGTACCTACATAGATAGTTTGTTTAGGTACGAAAGATGCACGACGAAATCAGAATCAGGAATCATGATACAAACGAAATTAAATCGATCGATTGATTATGCATTAAGGCAGTTTTAGTTATAATGGATTTGGTCTTTTCTTTTGTAACGGTATGTGAAATCCTAATTGGACGACATCAAATGAACTTCAATTCCCTAGAGAAATGGTATCTAAAAAAACGAATTCTAGACGGAAATTGCTTTCGTTTGAGGCGTACTCTAACAATGATAAATTAGGACCCCTCTGGGCAAAATGTCCGGTGGCTTTATTAGCAAACACACGGACGCTTTTAAGCTTGGCTCCTGTAATGTAGCCCTTATCTACATTGACCTAAAGCCAGTGGCAATGTGGAAAACAATGGAGATTTCAGCCAACCTTCTTTCGCTGAGTCCAACTTCAGTTGTAACAGATTGGATTGACAAAGCCATCACGACGCTCAACCAATGTATAATTAGAAGAAAAGTATTTTGCGAGACTAGAAATACTAAAATAGTTCACAACTCAGCTTACTATGTTTACTTTATAAACTTATACTTAGAGATATCTTCAAGACCAGCCTATGTATTATAAGGGATCTTCACGAGTTTAATCGTTTAAATCCCTCAGAATTTGCAAAGATAATACAGCTAATGAATTAAAAGCATTTAACCAAATAAATTATATATTATAAGTTAACTAAATAATTATTCCAAAGGAAGTAACGTATTGGACATGGGTGAAGAATTATTTATTTATTAGATACTGCAAAAGAAAAGCGTTATATACGAGTATAGCGATACTGCAAAGGACCTTAGCCTGTTTTTATTTCTTTGTAGAAATCAGACAAGCGGCCGACCATAAAATAAAAAGACCTAGGTTTTGCAATAAATCGCTAACCCCAAATAAAATGGTGAAAAGGGCAGGAAAAAAACATCATAATAATACAATACAATGGTATTTTTCTAGTTCATCATCAAATAAGGATAAATCACTTGAAATATAAAAAAAAGGAACAATCAGGAATGTTAAAAGTGATCTAAACTAAAATTTGGTTGGATAATATAGTTAGAGAACTTCTCTGTCTAAGGCCGCATGAAACGAAACAGGCATTTCCCAGTTTTAATTAGATAGTCTGAACTCGATAACACAAATATAAGCTTTGTAGTGTAATCACGATTAAAATCTATAATTCTTTCAACGTCAGCTGAAACAGATGGATAGGGAAAATCCAAAAACTTTTTAATAAAGTAGAAAACTTCAGAGGAAAAGTATTAGACAAATATATATATGATTTACTTTTTAGCACCTTCCTGTTAGAGTAACGTAAAATGGGCACACAGTAATTCTCACTATTCGACTGCCTATGGGCCCATCCAATGAATATCAAACAATATCTAAAAAGGTACAGAAGTGGATCAACCTCAACCAGCTGTGGTTAACCAAGGATGCCGAATCGATGTGTATGTTTTACAGAGGATAGAGGAAAAACATTTACTTGCAATAAATTTACTTAATTGCTGGGTATTAATTGTCATCCTGTTCTTGAAGTTGGAGTCCTTTAGAGTTATAATATATTTTCGTCTCTAAAGACATGCTATTTCTCAAGTAGTGCTTTTTTTAAGTAGGAGATTAGAACAAAAACTATAAAGTAACTGAAACGTCTTTGTAGACCATTTCATACCATAACCTCAGAGCACCAATGACTGGATACCATAGGCATAGCTGATTTGAATAATCATTGATTTCACGGTCCATCTCACCTCCGTTTAATTTTAAAATTATTATCAATCAAACCGAGTAATACTAAAAAGATAAACAAACCAACGTTTACAGGTTCTACCTTACACGTGTGATTTTGGTTCTGTTAGATCTCAGCCCCGAACTTTTATATCAATATGTGTGCTATACAATAATTATTATGTTAAT